CTTCCAATTTTCTGTTAAATTCTATCAAATAAGAATTATAGGCATATTGTAAATTATGGCCTATCTAAGCGACCGTACAATTAAATACGCTTGATTTAATTCTACAATCTACAATAAGATCTAATCCATATAAGAATTGAATATCTAACCAATATTTCCGGTATTTTTTTTTTCCATTGCAACAACAATGTTTCAAAAATCTTCATTATATCTATATGTAGCAAAAGTTGTAGAAATTCGAAGTAAAACATCTAACACTACATTAGTAGTAGAATAATAACTACTACTTAATAAATTGGTGGAATCATAAAAAACTTTAAGAAACAAAAAAAAATAGCTCGGAAACCATCCGATCAGATTCGTTGACGACTTCCTCCGAATAGTTCTTCTTGTTGAAGAACTTTGTAATTTGTCTTGCGTATAGCTTTTTCAAACATCAAGTACGTGGAGTTCTAACAGATAGGCATGTCCGTACATGCCTTCTTTGGTTGAATCGGCAAAATCCTCTTGGCTACAATATTTGCAAAATTCAGTCCATCTTGAATTGTTATAGGCCATGAATTCGATAGTCGCGCACACCCTTTCAATCCTCGAATGTATAGGTTTTAAACCTGCTTTAACAATCAAATTGATGATGTGGTAAGCACATCTCTAGCGAAAAAAATTTCCTTCACCATGCAGATCCAATCTCTTTTCAAATAAAAAAATTGTCGAGGTGTTAGCAGCTGTATTATCAAGCGTTAGCACCACAACTCTCTCAGATAATAAATATTCTTGCAAAACTCCAATAATTGTAAAATAAATAGTTTTAGCACTGTGTTTTTCATATAATGCTTTAAAACCTATCAATTTTTGTTGTAAATGCCAACCATGATCTAAATAATGTATTGTGACACTCAAAAAAATTATTTTTGATCTAGCAGCTCATATATCTGAAGTAAGTGCAATAGATATATTCCTAAAATTTTGAAATTCTTTTTTAAGTTTTTTTTTTTTTTATCATAAAGGTTTTTTATGATCCTTCTAGTTGTAGCTTTACTAAAAGGGGTAAATGCTGGGAAAAAAAAAAAAAGCAGTTTTAATCATTTGAACAAAATAAGGATTTTCAGATAAAGAAATAAGAGAGTTCATAGCACATATGACTTTTGCTATTTTCTCTTGTGTTATGCGTGCATTGTAATTCTATGTTGAGAGAGTTAAGGATTGTGAATTAAAATTAAGTTGAGTTTGAATTTGTCTTCTTAGTGTAGTACTTGAACCTGAACCGGACTGACGGGATTGCTGCATTTGTTGGGGGTGCTTCTTCTCCAGTGTTGCCACATCGTTGAAGTCTTGTTCTCAACGCCGATAATAGTTAAGCAATTACATTCTCTGCACGTCTCTTCCCTCAACCCATTTAGCTTTGGCCGTTTTGATTTAGTGAAGAATTGCCATACCTTGGAGAGACAGCTCTCTTTGACGGACGGGCTGTGGAGTCGCAACTTGCTTATGTTTGACTGGACCCAATCCCGACCATTGGTGGTCGTGGAATTGGAGTTGCTGCCTCTTGAAATGGTGAAAATGGATCAAACGCTTCCATTTATTCAATGGATGGAACGCAAAAACTCATTTGAGGATGATCCTCCAAATGCATAATTTTGAGAATCCATTATGTATGTATAATTAAATAATAAATAATTAAAATGAAAGAAATTGAATAATAATATGAATAATAAATGAAATTGAAAAATGGGAAAAAAATGAATAATATAAATAATAATATGAATAAATGTAAATAGAAATTGAATTGAAGAGAGTTTGAGAATTTGAGTTGAGAGATTGACAGAAGAGAATAGATTAAGAGTTGAGTTGTAAAGAAAATGTGAAATATAGGGGGGTTTTATAGTTGATGTATACCCCTTCCCAACACAACACCCACCCCCCCCCCCCCCCCCCCCCCTCCTCCTCTCACATTCTTGTCACGATCAACTGACGGTTGGCTTCAATGGTCATGTGATCTTGTTGAGCAGCCAACGGTCAATTCATATATTTTTTTATAATATCAATTTAGCCCTTATATTTATTGTAAATATTAAAATAGGAGGGGTTTTGTAATTTGCAAAGGGGCATTTAAAAAAAAAAAATTGGGCCCGGGCCCTCCTCCACGTTTTGGGCCAGGTTTATGGACCGAACCCCCTTGGTTAGTCTTGCCTGAGTTTTGGATGGGCTTTTTGGGTCCCGTCCCAAATGCCCACCTCTAGGATGGACAAACCAAACGATTATCCTATCGATTATTCGAAGAGGAAGTACACTGTTATATTTTTGTTTGACCCTAAAAGAGAATATAACATTAAGATTGTGAGAGGCTCATCGAATTCGATATGGAAATAGGATGTAACGCCCCACTTGAGGTACGTAGTAAATTATGTTGTATGTGTGAATGTTTATTGTTTTGCTCTTTTTTGAGATTGTATATTGTTAATATTGTTTGGTTGCCCTGAAATTGTAAAGACTTGGCGAAATCTTGGTGTTACAGACTTCGCCAGGGTGAAGAATAATCTTCGCCGCGGCAACAAGGTTCTGAAACCAAAGAGGTAGGTTTTGTAATTTTTCGTCAGGGCGAAGAAAGATTCTTTGCCGAATAAAATGTATAGTGAGTTTCTAGAGAATTCTTTCCATAGAGGCAAAATGACCTTTCTACCCTTAGTTAGCAGGAAAAGTGGGGAGTAAAATGTAAGAGAATTTTATGGAGAATATGTTAGAGTGGGGGTGTGATTGTAATGATTTAAAGGACAAGGATGGAATTTCCAAGGATAAGCAAGGGCAATATGGGAATGAATGAAGAAAGTTTGAGCTAACAAGGAGATAAGCTTCATAAACCCTTCATTCATTCTTCTTCCACCGCCTCTTCCATTCTCCATTTCCTCTCAACTCTTCCTTCAATCTTTCAAGGATCTTTGAGGGTTTTTAGTTGGATCTTGGTAGAACATTAATCTAAAGCATCCTAAGGTAATGATTCTTGCTTTAGATGTGAAGTTTTGAAGATATTTGTATATTAAACTCTTATGGTGTTATTGTTTAAAGGGTAGAGAAGAGACAAGTATTTTAAAGGAAGGGAAAGTGCAAGTGTGATCTCTCCATTGTAAGGTAAGTAAATTCATCCCAAGTTGAACTTTGAGAAAACTTTTGAGTAGAGATTAAGTAGAGATTTACTTATGCATGTGTATGATATATTGAGAAATTGGGTTGAGATGAGTATTTGTTGTATTGTTTTTGAATACACTTCATTGATGAGAAGTGTTAATATGTGATGAATATGTGATGAGAGGATGTAGTTTGAAATGAAGTTGGAGGAGATTGAGTAATTTCTTTGGGAGTGCTCTTTTATGACAAGAATCATAGTTATGTGAGGGAGTTTCCTCCCATTTTGGATGGATCAAGAGAGAGATAGAACTATAGATAAAGTAGAGTGTATGTATGCACACTAGATGTTTGATGAAATGTCATGGGTAGTAAACCTTAATTCTTGCAGCATTGCATGTTGGCATTTCATGAGTGTATTAGTGGAGAAGATTAATTGTGCATTGAGAAGTGGCTTGAGAAAGAGTAGAGAACTTTGTGGATGAACTACTCTAAGAGTAGAGAGAATAAGAAAAACACTAAAAACGGGTTGATGCTTTGTGATCTCCACTCGGTAGATATTCAAACGGGTTGGTGCTTTGTGATCTCCACCCGAAAGTTATGAAAAGCGGGTTGGTGCTTTGTGATCTCCACCTGAAAGTCACGAAGAGTGAGATGGTGCTGTGTGAACTCCACTCGACCGTGCCTCCGGTAAGATGAGGTCGTGACATATAGCAGAAGTTAAGTAAAGAGAGTTGTGTAAAAGATGAGAATTATAAGGAAAGAATTAAGAGAAAGAGTTACGGGAACAGTCGAGTAGAGGATTTACTTACTGAGCATTATTTCGTGCTCACCCCGTTGTTTTTCTTTGTAGTTGCAGGATCTAGGTGAGAACGCGGTTGGACGGGCGCCAGCAAGCGAGGAGCAATAGTTACACTGTCCGCTGTTTTAATGACATTTTGTAAATGATACTTTTATTTTGTATAAAGAATATTTATATGTAATAAAAGGAAATTTTGAGCCCATTTACTTTTGTTAATATAAATGTATTCTACTTAATATATTTTTATAAATACCCCAGTATAAAGCAGTTATTACATAGGATTTTTGGATGAATATGAATAGAACTCAAGTGAACTATATATCAAAATATGAATAGAACTCTAGCTTCAAACTTGCAATGAAAATTAAGATACAGTAAATACAAAATACTAAGTGTTTGAAAGAAAGGATGTGCTTTCAGTTCGCCGGATTGGTACTGCAAGCCTTGAAACATGCAACATTGATTTCGCCGTAACCACTCTGTTTTTTCATTTCTGCAGCCAAAGCCAATTCAGTTAGTTTCTCTTTTTTCCATTTCAAGCTTGGGGGAAACTTTCTTCATAATTCATATACTTCATAGCTAATTTAAGAGATGCTAGTTTAATCTTCAATTATACATACCATTGTTGCACAAAATTGAGCCAAAGGTAATAATAAAGGTAACAACATCGTGCTCCAAAAGGATGAAGAAAACTACAAATTGAAAACTACAAAATAGGCCCATATATAAATTGTAGGCTGGGCAACAAAACTCAAGTAGAATATCTAAACTGGAAAAACTCCAAAAAGTTTTAACATGTTCATGGATATATACAACTCGGCAAAATTCAAATAATAAAAAGATCTTGATCCATTATTTTACAATACATAATCTGGAAACAATCTGGATAATTTCTCCTCCTCAGGTTGTAATTTCTCAAGCTTGATCTATATTATAAAATGAAAACATGAAAACAGGCCCACAAATATGTCAATTACAACCATCTAGAAACAGAATAATATTATTCTAATCTTCAATTACAACTCATATGATATATATCTAACGTTGGTGATAATATTCAAAACAAACAATTCTCAGCATCTCCATGTTCAAATAAACCAAGCAAAACAAGAACAAATAACAGAAATCCAATTCAGAAAATTTTAAAGAAAGGACATGTGTCTGCCTGCTGCCACAGCCAATGAGTGAAGGGAGAAGGATCAAACAATCTCTTGATTTCCAACTGAAGGGATAGGAATCTTAATCTCCACTGGTTGCTTCTGTTTGTAAAATACAAAACGGGAAAAAAAATAAGTTTACATTAGACTAAAATAAGAGTAACCACTGAATAGGACCAAAATACTTCTAAAATTATCAAAAATGGAACTTACTTTGCTCTTTTTCTTCACTTCATTAATATTGAGACACCAATCACCTTCACATAATAGCATTTGCACTGTTTCGGGAGACAATGAAGCTCGATAAGTGTCAACAACTCTACTTCCAACACTAAAAGTAGCCTGTGAAGCCACCATAATCTGTCGTCACAATAATCTTTTGATTGCTTGAATTCTATAAATATGTCATCACACTAATTTTACTAACACTGTTCAACAATGTCTTCAACTTCTGCTTCTCCATTTCATACACCTTTATACAATCATTTTTACAACTTTTGTGTGAAACATGCCCCAGGTAGGAATCTCATACTTCATCATACTGTTGGAACCCTCTTCCTCCACACCCATAAATGGATGCTCATGCATAAGCACCCAATGGGCAACTAATTCCCTCATTTTCGCCGTGTTGAACTTGCCTATAAGAGCAGGATGACATTTCCTCCAACACTTGAACCGACACGGGGGAAATTAATCTAATGTTGCCTAATGGAAGCTAATCGCCTCACACACCCTTTCAGATTTCTTAAAAATTGGGTAATGCTTCTGGTTGAAGTAATTTGTAATTTGCCCTTACAATGGATACAACTCTACCTTCCTTGAGCCGTCAGGAAGGATCACCTCTTTAAATTTTGTCCAACTAGCAAATGCATTAGCTCTCTTTCTCCTTTGAAGTGGATTGTCATTCTCCTCTTCATTAGCGTTGTGGCCTCATTCAAGTTATGAGGTTCAGCCGGTGAAATTGTATCATTCAATGTCGGTCGGTTGTGTACTAGCTTTTCATACCTGTAATTGAAAAATTCACACCATGCAAATTAAACATAAGATCTCATTATTATAACTTTTATATATATTTAACGTAGCATTAACGAAATATAAAATTGTTATATATATAATTGTAGCATTCAATGTAGCTTAATAATGAGAATTCCTATTAAATAATGTAAATGAAATGGCAGTTGTTCAATCTGCAATTATAAAAGTTCTTTAATTAAATCACCCTAAACCCAAAAGAGCAACATATAATTAACCAAACTGATTGCAATCTAAACATAAAGTATATAATCAATCTTATGGTTGAAGTTGACTCCAATAATTACTCCAATCTGTCAATAAATTTATTATTGTGAAAGTTGGGTTTATTCAATTCAAGGCAGGATTTGATCATGAGATGGAGGGCAAGTAACAGACGCCCAAATACAAACCTTAATTACATGACATATTCGGATATTCCTATTCATTTCTTAAGGACCCAAAATCTCTCCAAAGCAGGGAAATTGTTCACACAAATCCAATAATAATAAACAACAATCGTACATGAAAAACCAAACAAATCAAGCATACACGAGTATAGAACCTTCAATTTTAGCTTAGTAAACAAAAATGGCTATGACTATGAATCACAATTCATAAGGACCGCCAAGAACAAAAATAAAAATAAAGACCAAAATATTGGTAACTAATCAACCACCTCTTTGCTCACTCTCTGAAACAGCCTCAGGAATGCCTTCGAAATATCTGCATTTCATTGATAACACGAGGGTTTAACATCTCATTCCGTGATACATACATACATACATACAAAGTAAAAACTATAACCCAAGGAAAATATAACTAGCATCACTATTTCCCACCTGATATCAGTAATGAGTCTAATGACTAATGAATGTGAACTGTGAAGATCCACTGTCCACTGAACTGATGAGTGATGACATGAAAGTATGAAACAAGTCTATGAACTGTTATGGCCGATGGGTGTGTCTGAAAATAAACATAAAGATTCAGATAACAAACTAATAAACTATAACATTTTCACAAGCATGAAGGAGTTGAAAAAAATTATATTTTATACCTTTGAAGATCGTGTGACAAAGATTCAGAGGCAAACAACTGCAGGCAGTGTTTTTTATCCACTCTATAAAGAGAGCTTCATAAGTTAGAAGGGTATGAAAAATTGATAACTCTCAACCCATTCTCTCTCTATAGTTATTGTAGTTTTTGCAAGAATATTCTTTGGGTAATTATTGTTAATTAATACACATAAAAGGGGGTAAATTAATGAGGTTGGCAAGTCCAACGTCATGAAAATATCTAATTCGTGATAGTACGTTGAACTTAAACGGACTCGATTGACTAACTTAGGCGTCAGAGGGTTCTCGTCAGGAGCACCTTCACTGGTCCCTTAAACTCTGTTGTTGCGTTGTAGGTCGAAGTTCACCTCCTTGACTAAGAGCTAAGGCAAACATTGGTGGACTCCAAGCTAGGAAAAGATTATTTAAGTGGACGACCAAAATCCACCATCAACAATAAATTTTGATGAGCTTGTAGTGTATATATATATATATATATATAATGAGAAGAACTACACATTAGAGTTTATACAATAGTAAAAATGAGTTTGAGATTAGAGTTGAAGAGAAATTATTTCATCTAATTGTATATATTATTTGTCTCTGTATTTTAACAAAGAATAGTCTTATTTGAGTCCACTGGATCTTTTTCTAAAATATATTTAAAATTTTAATTTTTAAATAATAATTTATTTTATCTCTAAAATATCCTCTTTCTAAATCTTCAAGACTTTTATCTTCTTCTGTCTATTATTCTCAAGATGTACTCATCTATGTTACATTCTAGTTGAAGAAAGGATTTTGCTTGCGATTTGGGTTTTCTGATTCAAATGTGTTCTTTTGTCCTAGGACTCCAATAGCCTTTTCCCAGGAGAATCATTTTTATTGTAGGCACAAATACAGTGGGACAAAGAATTGCAGCAAAGTTGAACTACGGATCTAATAACCTTTAAGACTGCCTCTTATTCATCGGACGTTATATACCAGTTAATATTTTTGGTCAACTTATTTTTATTTTTGGTCTGTGTAGATGTAAAAATCTACCTGTACGGAAAGGAGGTTCTGGTCCCGTGAGATTGAGGCCACTAGCGATCCGCTGCAGCTGCACACGTAGAGAAACACACGCGTGAAGCGAACGGGAAACACCGGGGTGGTGTTTGCCGTAGGCACTCTGACGCTCAAGTCAGCAAGGCTGAAAGAGGCTAATATAGTGAGGGCTAAGGAATAAGAGATTACCGGAAGTCTAGTCGGGGACTGTGACTACGGCGAATCAGTGAAACTCTCGAGTAAAGAGTCTCGGGTGTGAAGGTGTAATGTCGATGTCTCTTGTGAGAAGGCTGGCCTCTGCTTATATAGTGGTCGTCTGGTTTCCCAATCCTGATGGGAGCAGGAGTCCTAATATGACTCCGATGTAAACCCTAGAAGAATTAGGATCGTGGTGAGTTGTCTTACCAGTGTCCAAATAGGAAGGTAACTCTGTTTAAGAGAATTCGCTAAGTAGGAAAGTGATCAGGAATAGGAAGGCGTCTTTGAATAGGAGGTTGATTGGGAGTAGGAAAGTACTATGACAGGGCTGTGGGCTCTGGATTCGTCCGTGGACCTAGGAAATGGGCTAGGTTTGAGAGGCTTGTGCCCGCTTGATTTGGGCCGGTTTATACCTCATGTTAAAATAGGACTAACATGGCTTGGGCCTTTACAGGACTGGGCCTGGTCCATCTTCGCTAATGGTCCTATTTCCCTATTTGGACCAAGGACGATTTTTGGCCCTAACAGTCTGAATTAACTAGAAATTAAGTATAACCTTGCTAAATACAAAAGTACCAAAAACCTGTCAAATTTTAGAGCGAGGTTTGGGGAAAAGAACCAATCACCCCTGAAGAATATTTTTGGCACACCGTATTAGATTGAATTAAATTAGATAGGACAGTACAGTGTGTTTGAATTTTGATAAAGTATTGTATTTAACAAATTTATTCATAGCCCTATCAAATTAATTCAATATCCCTCATTTTTAAATGTATTTTCGCTTTGACAAACTTGACATTAATGACATAATAATTTCTAAAATACACTTATTCTCTATTTTATATTTTTATCTTTATCTTTAACATATAAAGTTATAAACCCTAAATCTAAATTTTATAAATCATTGAAACAAATTTTTTTATTAAAATATATTACTATTGCAGTAATCACATAACATGGTGAATTTGAATCTAAAGAAGAAAAAAGAAAAGTTTCAAATTTTAAATTTTAAAATATAATAAAAGTGCTTATAACAATGAGGAATAGTTATCAATTTAACGGGAAATAAAAATCATTTCCCTTATTTACATAGTTAAAAACTTCAAATAATATTTAAATAATCTGAATAAAAATCAATATTTAAATGGATAACTTTTATTATTAATTGAATTATACTTAATTTATATTTATATTTTTAAAATATAAATTTTAAAATATTGAAAAATATTTTTATTTTATCAGATAATTAATTAAAAAATATTATTATGCATTTGTAATATATATAATACTAATAAATTATATTAATATATATTAAAAGTTACAAACCTTACTCACGCAAACATAATGTCTGCACGAGGTTACGAAAGAAGACCCGTGGGGGCCCACGGGTTTGTTTTCCCGCATATTGTTTGGACTAAAAGGTATTTAAAATAATGCAAAGTTTCTCTTTTAAAAAAAAAATGCAGCAATACTGTAGCACAATACTGTGCAATCCCATCTGCCATTTGGGATTGCAAGTTCTCCTCAAGGTTGATATTCTTAACATGCCTCTAGAGACTTCCCCAAAGATTTAGACAAAAATAAGGGTTCGAGAAAATTCTTAGTTTGAAATCTCCTAATTTTAATAAGGATAACCCTGTAATCTGTAAGAAAGGTCATTTTGTCAAGCACCAGCACAGATGATAACTTCAAGTAATGCAGTAGCAGTAGTAGTAGATAGATACATTCTAACTCAAGAAACTAAAGAGCAGTCCAACAACCAAGACTTCAAAGCGTTAAATTACTGAAATAAATTGATTTGAAAGCTTGGAGATAGCACACCAACCATGTATCTCAAAATTTTAGCCTATGAGACCAACAACGTATAAACAATTCAATACTTGCACTCATCCCCCTGTAGACATCAATATATCAAATCTAGATGGCATCCCATCCACCAAACATCCAACCACCATATTGCTTCCCCATTCGCACCCCCAAACACAAAAAACACAAAATTAAATTCCTTCTCTCCGTCATGGTGAGTCAACACATACCACAACCACATTGCGGAGATCGCACATCGCTAGCACTTATAGCTCTTGCACTGGACACTAGTTTTAGAAAGCTAGGGACTTTGCTTAAACAAAATCTATTATGGAGTGAAAAAAATAAGAGGGCACGCATGTGTTTCCAATGATGTTTGATAATTATGCTAAAACATGAATGACAAAAGCATCAGTGGATTATATGTTAAACAGAATTTGACACTTCAAATATTGTCCAAAGTAACATTGATCAACATACACTTAAGAGTTTAAACAAGCCAAGCACGAGTCACTTTTGACAGACTGCAGAGAACAAGAAGAAAAGAGCGATAATTTGAGGTCAAAATTTCATACCTGATTGGCCTTTAAAGGATGAGAAACAAAAAGGTAATGTGATACATTTGTTACTTTTACCTCCTTACATTTCTGCAGAAGAGAATACACAAAACAGCAGTAATGCACATAAGCAAGGGCCTGCCACCTCTGTGACTTTGACCTGATAATGCATCTGCCAGCTTGTATTTTTTTTTTTTTTTTTTTTTTTATCCAATATTTACATGCACAAAAACATATATCCACTCAGATGTGAGGCACGCCCTTTGCGCTGCTCCCACTTACAAAGCTCCTCCAATTTATCGGTCCATTTAAATTTGAAAAATACAATTGATTCCCTCGAATACCAGAGAAGCAATTTTATCTAGACAGTAGGTTATTTCGTCTTCATTGTTAAAAATGTAATACAACAGCTAACAAGAGTGACAACGCCAATTGAACAGCTGTATCACCTGCAGAAGCTGCAAAAATAACAAACCATACTTATTAACTGATATTTGCTATCAACCAAAAGTTAAGTTTGCATTTTTACGGTAATAGACACCAGAAAATAATTTCAACTGCAAGTCTAAGACAAAAGATGACTTAAAATGAAATAAAAAAAATTTGAAGTATAAATCAAATTATCAAACTGGCCAATCTAATGATTCATCAATTATCAATTTAGGACCCCTTAGAGATATAGCAAAGATAAAATAACCTGAATGAACAATCATATCATTGCACTACAAATCCACCAGACAGTGATTGCATGAAATGAGTTATGTCAGATTCAAAATATTTGGAGCATCAAATTACGATTATAGGAGATACTCACATGAAAAAGGAGATTGTGACACTGGCGGCATTGAGTTATGATGCTCCACGTCTGAACCACTCTTTGATGGGGGCCTCGCATGAGCAAAAACAACATTTGGCAAAGGACTTGATGCAGGATGTGAATGGGAGAAAGGTGCAGGCATAGGTCTCGGTGGAGCTATACGTGCATGCGGTGAGGCAGCAGAACGGTGAGGAGAAATAGTGGGAGCAATGGTAGGGGCCAAACGGGACCGTGTCCTTCCTTTTTTTGCAGACCCCCTTTTATTCGCACTGTGGCAGCCAGGAGGCTTTGCCTCATGACTTTTCTGAGGTGCAGGTGAATTTTTCATTGGGGCAGGTGAACCATGCGCTGGCAGAGGTGCAGCTGTCTGAGTCGCAGGTGTTGGAGAAGTTGCAGGAGCTAGATGGTCATTGTGGTGATGGTGATGGTGTTGATGGTGGTGGTGATGGTGGTGATGGTGGGAATGAGGTAGAGGAGCTGGAGAAGGTGATGATGAGGGGGCACTGCCATCGCCACCATTGAGGGAGTGTTGCAAGATAGATGAAAGTCGAACTTGCTTAACCCTACCAAATACAGTGTTATTTAAGCCAAGGTTTTTGGAATTTGAACCAGTGATTGTCTGAGCGAGCTGCTTCAACCTTGGGGTTGAGGGAGTATTTCCAACCGCCAAAACAACAGAAGACTGAACAATTGTGGGGGGAGCCACTGTTGAACCTTTGGAATTCAACAAGCTTATATACAAATTCTGAAATCAACAAAACAAAACTAATTAGATAATCACACTCTGGCTGTAAATGACAAGAACATCTCCAGTATCTAGCCATAGAGCCCTGTACTGAAATGCCTAGAAGTTTCTTCTTCATTATATGGTTATTCTTTATTCAAATGTATATTAAATCATGTATTGCAGAGAAAACAACAAAAATAAAGTAAAGATTGCCAACCTCATAGGGTGCCAGATGTAATCCTGACTTCAGCTGGCTTGTCAGTTCATTGAAATTTTCTTGTATTTGATAAATAGAGAAGTTCAAGGTAAAGTTGAAAAGGATTTGCACTTTCTGCAGAAGAAACGCACTCTGTAGAGGAATCACAGTAATTCCTCCAGGGAATTTCAAAACCTCAAAAAACAACGGGTCCCCAAACAAGGATGTAGTCAGGCGAAGGGATGATTGGTTTAAAACCAAATATACAAATGATGACCTGATCAAGCTTTGAGAATATAAAGAAATTTTTGAATTTTTTGCATCTGGATCAACCGCAAACACCACCTTCGTTATGTTCGATCCAGCTACAGGATCTAGAGATAAAATAACCACCTGATCAAAGTTAATTAAGTCAATACATGGGTAAGGAAAAGAGGAAAGTAAATGTTAAAAAAAAAGTATGTAACATGAAAAGGATTAAAAGAGAAGATACTTTGATGGTTGGAACACTGATCTCGTTATAAATGTCCAACTCAAGCTGTACGATATTGTCTTCCAGCAAAGAAACTGGCTTCTGAAGATTGAAACTTGCAACAATGCCGTGATCTGCATTAACAAATACTATTGAGTACATGGTATCAAAAATATAACACAATTTTAATGAAAAAAATCACTAACTGCAATCACAGCATCGAGGATTTCACATTTATTACACCGATAGAGTATCAAACGATCTATTACTTCTAATGATTATCACACAAAAGAAATCAATAAATAGAACCTAAACCATTTCCACAATGAAACTAGGGAAAAGTGCAAAACACCAAAAAATCATTAACATCAAAGTACAGTGACAAACATCTTCACATCTTCTATTGCCCCAAATACACTCAATCCTTTATGCTGAAATTACATAAGCACTGTTATGGCAGTCTACACAAGCAATGAGGGGTCTAATACCCAAAGGGACAGCTTGTCTTCCATATACTCCTCAGAGCCCAGATCATAAAACCATATTCCGATTGACCTTGGGTACAACAAAAACAAGAAATATCAATCCTCAGCGTATGAGACCAGTGGTCCACCGCAGCATCTTTCAATAACATAATATTCAAGATATTTAGGTAGTTGCACACATTTCCACATAACACTGCACTACTGATGATGAACACCAAGCACCACAGCAAATGGACCAAAACCTTTATTGACTACAGTGGTAACATTTATTGCATCCGAAAACCATTCTATATACAAGAAGTTTTATAATATGTGAAAGAATTTACAACTATGAAGAGCTAATAATTGACGTAAATTATTAAGAGATTACCAGAAATCTTAAATTAAGTTCTGATCCTTCCAGAAAAGACAGAACTTGAATAGCTTTAAGCGAAATGTAGGACCTACTCGGTGAATACGTAGCACTTACTGCTAAATGGCAGGATAAATCTTTGATGTGGCACTTCCATGTTCCATTCCACTCAAAAAGGTAAAGAAGCCAATCCCAAAAATCATAAGCGACACTGAAATAATTGATCTCAAGAAATTTTGGAAATAACTGATTTATGACAAACTGTCTCACTAAATACTATTGAATTTTTTGACATTGATCTCTGACTCCTTTGCTACAACATATGCAACTAAACTCGAATCTAGAAAAATTTTATCCCAATATAGGTTCCAATTGCCTAAGTCCTGCTTCACTTCTTCACATGCATTTCATTCGTGTTCATTTTAGAAAGGATCCAATTTTGAATTTGTCAACATTAATCTATAACCCTTTTGCTTCTCCATATGCAACTAAACTCAGATACAAAAAAATTTATCCCCATATTGGTTCCAATTGCCTAAGTCCTGCTTCACTTCTTCACATGTATTTTATTTGCCTTCCTTTTAGAGAGGATCCAATAAACACACATGGCAAGCGACATCTTTACAGGCTTCTGCTAATTGCTCTTTTGCGAAACACTACAATAAAGCTAGTAATAACAATTTAACCATTTTTGGTAAGTGACTAGAATATAAATGAACGTATAGAGTCAATTAAATCGGCTTACAATAGCATGTTTGGCACACAGGACGCAATTATAGAAGGCCTTAAAATAAGTAAAATAAACTAGAAAGTGACAGCATCCTCACTAGGGAAATCAGAAATAAAGAGTAAAAGATTTTATCGTTCCAGAAACATTGCTTTGATGAGAATTATTCCCACAAAAACCTCCAAAAACTCCTTTCTAAAGACCTTGCTGAACACTTGACCATCAGTAATCTTAATAGTCACTCTCGAATGTTTCCTATAATAGTAATTCTCCCATGAAACCGAACTCCATGACTTATTGCACCACAATAGAAATAACTCCGATCTTAGAAACTTTACGTCATCACATCAACCATACTACAAGTCATGTATTCATGTGACATGTGGATTATTTTCTCTCCCATTAATCCTAACAATCACTTAACACAAACCTATCCCTTAAACCATCAGCTTAAACAGGAAATTCTATCCATAGAATATTTGTAAAAAAAAAATATTTTCCTTCAATAACAATATATACCCATAATTAGAAATTTTTATGAATGAAATTACTTACATAATCTTCACATTAGATTTCCAAAAAAAAAAAAAAAAAAAAAAAGAACTAAAGATATCAGCAGTCAGTGGGAAAATTATCTGTCTATTTATTATCAAAACTAAATTCCCAAAATATAGCTCCAAATCTGCAAACGTCACTCAAAATAGAAATTTCCAAGATAACCACCAGAATTTGCTAATTGGTTCGCTTCTTTGAATAAATCAAAACAAAACAGCAATTAAAATTATAAAATTGAAAATACCACTAAAAAACAAAACAATAAAATAAATAAAAATACAAATCACTTTATCTTCCCACATTTTCTCAGCAACCAAACACAGCCAAAGAAAAGCACAGATCAAAGACCCAAAATCTGACCTTTAAACTTAGAATAAAGATCCAGATCCTTCTGATCTGAAAACGGAAGAAAAGGAGGCAACCAAAACAAAGCGGAGAGAAAGACGGCAAGCGATAACAAGAGCATGAAGAAACATTTGAAGCCAATGAGCCTATAAATCCAACAACATCCTTTACACACAAATCTGGTGTCCACATTTTGCTGTACATTCTCATTGACAACACTAACGGCAAGAGTTCGCTCATCCTCAGCCTTCCCCATAATGCATGTGAGATGTCGGGTCAGGCTCCATCACCTCCGCGGCAGCCACTTAGGTGATCTGGGTCTCCGTTTGGTGCACCCATTCTTGATAAAACTGAACAAACAAAAACNAAAATATCAGCAGTCAGTGGGAAAATTATCTGTCTATTTATTATCAAAACTAAATTCCCAAAATATAGCTCCAAATCTGCAAACGTCACTCAAAATAGAAATTTCCAAGATAACCACCAGAATTTGCTAATTGGTTCGCTTCTTTGAATAAATCAAAACAAAACAGCAATTAAAATTATAAAATTGAAAATACCACTAAAAAACAAAACAATAAAATAAATAAAAACACAAATCACTTTATCTTCCCACATTTTCTCAGCAACCAAACACAGCCAGAGAAAAGCACAGATCAAAGACCCAAAATCTGACCTTTAAACTTAGAATAAAGATCCAGATCCTTCTGATCTGAAAACGGAAGAAAAGGAGGCAACCAAAACAAAGCGGAGAGAAAGACGGCAAGCGATAACAAGAGCATGAAGAAACATTTGAAGCCAATGAGCCTATAAATCCAACAACATCCTTTACACACAAATCTGGTGTCCACATTTTGCTGTACATTCTCATTGACAACACTAACGGCAAGAGTTCGCTCATCCTCAGCCTTCCCCATAATGCATGTGAGATGTCGGGTCAGGCTCCATCACCTCCGCGGCAGCCACTTAGGTGATCTGGGTCTCCGTTTGGTGCACCCATTCTTGATAAAACTGAACAAACAAAAACCAAGAAAATGTTTTCTGAATATGGGAATTGTTTTGTTTTGTTTTGTTGTGAATATTTTAAAATAAAAATAATGAGAGTTAGGGTTTGAAGCAAGGTCAAGCAAAGGAAGGGAGAGAGAGAGAGAGAGAGAGAGACAGAGAGAGAGGGCAGCGAGTATCTGTAAATGACAAGTATGGGCTTTTAGTTAAGAGATGGTGGTGGTTTATCTGTTTTTGTTTTTCTTGTTTTCAAAATAAAGAGTGAGTGTGAGGTGCGTTGGGTTTTAGTGAGTATTAAACTGAGAGCATTATGTGCGCACTAAGCGGCATTGTAGGAAAGTGAAAGTATTTTTAATTCTCCATTATTATTACATTTAACGTTAATGGACACTTTCTTTTGACTTCTTGTAAGCCAAGTAAACTAGTCTGAATTTCCATCCCAATATTTAATTTATTTAAATAACAAATATCTCTTTTTTATCCGCATAACATTAGGCTGATATCCAATTTTATAAACTTTTTTCAACACTTCAATGTGAACTCGTAATTAGTCAATTCATAAATAGGTCTAATTGCTCGTTATAGGTTTTGTTATTCATTTGCGAGCTATTACGTCAGGGTTGTGAAAAAAGGTTTATAAAATTAGGTTGTGAGCTAAATTTTATCATTTTTAATATGTTAGAATTAATAAAAAATTCTTCGGTTATTAGTTAACAGTTAACCGTTAATAACCATAAAATCATATTAATTAACTTAATTATCTTTAACATGACAAAATAGTTAGAATGTACTAGACTACTAAATCCAATATGGTTTAACACACTTTTAATTAGATTATTAAATGCTAGACTATCAAGTTTGGTATGATTTAACATAGTTTAATTTTATATAGTAAATAACATGTTATTTGTTGTTTCATCAAGGATATAATTGGTAAATCATTTAATTTACGACTAGATTTTAATTTTTAATAAAACTTTCACAAGATTATTGTCTTGGGAGATATTTGTATTTAATTTAATCCTTAGGGGAACATTGTTATTCAAATGTTATTTATTGCTTAATTGCTATTTATTATTGTTTTAATTTACGTTTCAATTCAGCATATAAAGAAGAATGGTTGAAGGATAATACTACACTTACAATTCAATCTTACAAACTCTCTTTCATAACTCCGACGTAACAGCTCTCAATTGATTTCTAATAATTTTTTTTGTCTAACTAGTTGCTAATAAATCAATTATGAACTGTAACGTCTGGATTGTGAGATGAAGTTTGTGAAATTGAGTTATGAGTCACTATAGTTTAATAATAAATTTAGTGCATGAAATTTAATTACATTAAGAGGGAATTTTTGGTAAACTTTGTTAGGTACAACTTTTATGCTTCTTTAATTTAAAAAGGAGTTACGTCACTTAAATATAACTTTTTTAAATTCAAATTACCTATTATTCTATACAGACAACAATATTCAAAAACTGCAACAAAATCTAAAACCATTAATAATCCTAAAATGGTTTTTAAAAGCTAAATCATGAATTAAATTTTTGAATCAAAATAATGACATAAATTAAATGTTAAGCATGGGAGGCAGAGCTTTCTATTGAAAACGAAAGAAGACCAAGCAAAATAAATATGCAATCCTGGGAATAATAAATAATAGTAGGTTTGATTTTGAACATGTTGCGCAGATTCAAATGGAATTTAAAATATTATTATAATTTATTAAATAAAAAAGAACGAAAAATTAAAAAAAAAAAAATGGGAGTAAATGGTGGGGTATGTTTACTTGTGAGAAAGCGAAAGTAGTGGACGCTTCCAATTTAGTGTTAATGAGGCCCACGCGCCAGTCACGGGGGTTCAGTGGGCCGCACCGTCAATACGCTACCTCCACCTGTGACTGTCTTCTACTTTTAACCTATTCAGTATTCTACTATTCTGTCTGCACCACGACGCCGTTTTTATGTGTAGGTCAATGGACATACATTAATGGATATCTTATATTTGGTTGATCAGCTGTATAATTAAGTGATTGTATGAATATTATATCATATACTAAATTAGTGGCACCTTTCATGTTAATACCATTGGATAGGTCGATAGAAGATATACTCAAAACTTTTGACGCTATTCCCACGATGACGACAAGTTCTTAACTTTGAAAAAAATTTATTAGAGGATTTATTATTTTTGTTTATTTCAATAATTTAATTTTCACATATTTATTAAACAATGAATTATACAATTAATCTCTTGGTGTTGTACCAAACACAGTAATATTAAATATAAGAGTAAACTGCTTTTTCTCACCCAAGGTTTGTCTTAATGAGACTTTCCCACTCTAAAAGTTTCAAAATACCATTTTTCTACCCAAAGTTTATGTTCTGGATACCATCCAGGATACACTTTCCAATTCAATAGCCAACGGAGAGCAAATTCTGTCCAGGCTATTGGAGTTTTTGAAGAGAAAATATTGGTGAGTCTTTTGGTGGTGGCAAATTAGATTTTAGTGATTAGGATTGGTCGAATCTGACTTAGGAGGAGCGGTTGGATGTTTCACAAATCGCTTGATTGTTAACGATTGACATGTTAGATAGAAGCAAGGTTTGAAGGATTTTGATGAGTAGTGATTAGAGAAGAGAATAGTGATGGTTTGGGGTTACAAAAATGTCAAAATCAGCCGACGATTAGTCAAAATATAAACTTTGGGTGAAAAGAATTGTATTTTAAAACTTTTTATGTATAAAAGTGCCATTAAGGCAAACCTTGGGTGAGAAAAAGTCGTTTACTCTAAATTTAGTCCAACTTAATTCCCTCTAATCCTTTCAAAATATCTAGTCTAGCCGACGGTGTTACTTGTTTTATTGGTGTATAATTATTAAACCTATAGCCTACTCACCTTCTAAAGAGCCCACACACTAACAAAGTCTCAAATACACATTGTGGCCCAAACTAAAGTCCACTAATCACTCAAGGGTCCCTCATCACACATTGTCATTCTCTCCCTGAAAACTCGAACTTGCCCAAGTTATTTGTTTTATCAGAACATGTGGCCCCTTTGTTTCAATATTATATCCTTATCTTATTCTATTGTTATATCCTAAAAACCTAAAAATATATTTATTTCAATATTTTCAAAATCATATTCTAATTTATTCATCTTACAAAATATTAATAGTTATCTTTCTCGTAAAGATAACCCAATTTTACTTTTTTTTTTTCAAAATACTATTCTAAAAATCATCAAATAATTAACCAAATGAAACCGTCTATAATTCTGTCCTTGAATTCTAACGAATTTTCGAAAATAATATTTTCCTTGGCCTTCCTTCCGATAAAGAATACCAGCTTCCATCTTCAAAACTAAGGTAATAATTTATCAAGTTTTTATCAAAACTCCCATGTGCAGGAAGTAGGGATGGGCACGAGGCGGGTAATGATCGGGGAACTCCCTTCCCGACCCCCTAGGGGATTCCCCATCCCCCACCCCCACCTTGCATACGGGGATTATGCAGGGAAAATTCCCCGTGGGGATTATTCCCCACACATTCTAAAGTTTATTTGTTTATAATTTATAGATAATAACATAAATTGTTTATTCTTGGTCTGTTACAAAAACTTTGCATCACAATGTTTGTAAGTTCAAAATGCTACATTGACAATTACTGATTTAGATTACATAATTTAACTTATTCACTTCTTGTGGCACCATAGCAAAAAATTGATCCATTCCTTCCTTGGAGAACTGCTTCGACAACCTCTAAGGTTACTTGAGAGTTTTTAAAATAATAAACTAAAAACAATAAGTGAAACTCCATCAACTACACAACAACTCTCAAAAGGATCAATGAGAAAGTGGGTTCATGGCAAATTCAGGCACAGATAAGAACTCATCAGCATTCATCAACTATAAACCCATGAAATAAAGGCAGAATGTGTGATACGATGAAACTATGTTTTCCTTTACTGCGTTTCTCTGTTCTCATAAACTTTTTTTCTTCTCCTTTACAAGGCAAATGATATGCATGTCTATACCCTTAGAACATCTAACCCTTCTAATCAAAAGCAATATGTCTTACAAACTAGACAAACCTAAGAGTTTTCAAATTAATAAACTAAAAACAGTCAGTGAAACTCCCTCAACTAAACAACAACTTTCAAAAGGATCAACTAAGCAACTCTCAAAACAATCATTAAAATTTTAAACATTTAGTAGCATATAATCCTATTCCCACCTTTTTAGTAGCATATGGAACACTTACCAGAGCATATAATCCCATTCCCACCTTTTCGGTAGCATATGGAACACTTAGTAGCATACAATCTCATTCCCATCTTTTTAGGGGATACAATCTTATTCCCACCTTTTTAGTAGCGTATGGAACACTTATATAATATTATATTATTGTTGGAATTTATTAATTAAATTTAATGAAATGAGATGTGGTGGTGTAAGTTGGGAATTTGAAAATTAAAAGGTTGGTGGATTAATGGAGGAGGTTAAAGTTGGAAAGCGAAAAGATTGAAAATAATGGTGGAATTTAATGTTTTGTCCCACCTTGAGTAGTATAAAAAATGTGTTTTTCCTTTCATTTTTAACACACACAAAAATTGAGAGCTCTTTCAATATCTTATTTTCTCTCTAGTTTTTTAAGGTTTTTCTTTGTTGGAGTTAATACTTTATTCAGTTCGTCAGAATAGAAGAGTGGTGTTTCTCTTATTATTTATCTGTCGTTGTATCTTGGGAATCAGACACTACTCAAATTCTTGTGCACCCTAGTGAAGGAGGCAAATTTGTTTTAAGGAAACTGTGTGTTACACAGGCCTCGACATTCATCCCAAGGTTGTATTCTTTATCGGATCTCTTCCCGTCATTATGAAGGATCTTCTACACGTGATCACGTTGTTGGTATTGTTAATTTTATTGTATTGTTATTTTATTGACATTAAGTTATATTGTTTTTATATTCAATATGTTTATTATTTGCAGTTACTAATATAATAATTGATTATTTAATAACAATCTTAAAACAGATTTGATTTTATTAGTAACCATATTTTATTTTGTTGAAAACATTGGATTTTGATATTCCCAAAGGTTGCTGTCGTTGTGCAGTAAAAGTGTGATGGTCGAATTTGACAGTACGATTTAGAGAAATTTTGTCTAAGGAGACTGGATTTAAGAGGGACCGTCTATAACCCCTCTAGTGTTTCTTGGGAATTATTTATTGACAACTATTCAAAAATTCACATAA